CTCTGAGCCCGGGGGCTCTGGCCTGGCCCCCTTCTCGCTGCCTTCACGCCCTTCCAGATCCTCCAGAGAGACCTGAAAGGCCTGCTCCTCCTCCTCCTCCTCCTCCTCCACCACCTCTTCCTCTTCCTCTTGCTCCTCCCGGGCAGCACCGGCAGCCTCGGGCTGCAGGCCCCGCGTGCAGGGGGGCCGCCCCAAGTCCAGGAGGGCACCGGCGCTGCCTGCATGCTGTTAAGAGCACAAGCCCCTCGTGACGGGCCTTGTGGACAACCCCACCTCCTCCTGCAGGCCGTGGGGGCGGGGAGGCTTCGCGCAGAGAGTCACACCAGGACGCCCAGCCCTGGTCTCCACCGGGGTCCGGGAAGGAACGGGCACTCTTGTGGTGGGAGGGCTGTGGCCTGCTCAAGGACTCAGAAGCCCAAGAGTCGTGCCTGCCCGCCCCGGAAAGGGGGAAGTATGAGAGGACCCAGGCTGGGCAGGACACCGGCAGGGTGACCATCCAGAAAAAGGCACAGAAGGGCACCCAGGGCAAGGGCCATCTTATTTCCTCATGGCATGGAGCCTGGGCACAGCAGGTTGCTCGGTAGACCATGAAGGCAGAAGATGCTGGAGGCTGACCCAGGCAGTCCCACCCCCAGGCCCCTCCTCCCTGGCCCTGGTGCCCACAGGCCTTACCTTCATTCCTGCTGCTCTGGCTGCCAACACCACCACGGGTCCCCAGCATGGGGCAAGGGGAAGAGGACGGGAAGAGACCAATAAGCAGGAGAAAGAGCCTCTCTACAGCCCCTGGGGAAGGCCTGGCTGGGGGTTCCTGCTTCCCCGAACTCTTACTTCATTTCCTGGGCTTTCAAAGAAATGGCTGACAGAAAAGAAGCCCAGGGCCACAGAACACCGCAAGCCTATGCTGGGTGCCTGGTGCTCCCCAGGACAGGGTGCGAGACCTATGTGTGGGGGCGGGCTCAAGACCCCCTTCTCAGACAGCCAGGGTGAGGACGCCCTTGGGGAGGAACAGAGGCGGAGTCCCTTTTCTAAAGTTTTCTCCACAGCCCCCTGGCTGCTCCCTGTCCCCACAGGTTCCTTGGGAATGGCTGTCTGGCCCTCACACACTCACCTTTTTCATTCAGTTGCCTGAACAGGTGTCTGGTCGGCTCTGAGGAAGCAAGTGGGCAGGTCAGCACAGGCAGGAAACAGCCGCCCTGGCTCCATCCCAAGTACTCGGCCCCACCAGCCCATCACCAGCTCAAAGTCCACTCTGGCTTGGCCCCCGGCAGCCCCAGGGCCTCAGGAAGGCTGCCCTCCAGTGTCCCCGAGCCCTCACACTTACCCGAGGGGGCAGCAGGGCCCACCCAACTCAGGGACCTCTGCTGTGATCACCAGTCCCATGGGAACAGCACCATCCACAGGCCTTGCATTAGCACACCCACCCAGGGCCCACAGTGCAGGAGCCATAGGAAGGGCACTGAGCCCCACGCTGCCCCCTTCTGACTGACCAGCCATCCTGGAGGTCCCTGGATGTACCTCAAGCCCCTGTGTGCCCGGCAATGAACACATCAGCACCTTCGTTGCACCCACTGCCAAGCCCCTTCTCAGCACCCCGGCTGGAAGCAGAGGTTGCATCAGACTTTATACGGCCCTTAAGGCCTGGCATCTCGAAGCCTCGCTGACCATGGGGGAGCGCTGCCCAGTTGGACGGGGGGTGACCAGGCTCTGGGGACAGGATACGAAACATGTCCATTAGACAGATGGTGTCATCATCTTGTACCCCAGCCTTTCCGGGAACAGATCTGAGATGTGGGGGGTGGTGAGGATGCTGTCTCAAGGCACAGTTCTAGAGAGCCTTGGCCTCAGCCTCTCACCGTCCTTGCCCAAATGGTGTCAGGCAGAAGGCCAGGGACGGCCATGATTTTCTAGAAACTAGGAGCCAGAAGGCAAGTCTACAGACATCTCCTAGCCGTTCCTTGGCAGGAAAGCCTACCAAAGAACCTCTTTTCCCCGAGACATGCATGCACACACAGCATACACACTGTCTGCAGCAATGTAAGTACACACCTAATTGCTTTAAAAGTGAGAAACAGAAAATGCTGTTTCATTTTAAATCTCCTGAGTCCCTTGGATAGCTCAAGTTTTCTTTGCTTTTTTTGGGGAACAGTTTTGTTGAGATATGATTCACATACTATACACTTCACCCATTTAAAGTGCAAAATTCAGGCTGGGTATGGTGGCTCATGCCTGTAATCCCAGCACTTTGGTTGGAAGGCCAAGGCAGGTGGGTGGATTGCTTGAGGCCAAAAGCTTGAGACCAGCCTGGGCAACACAGTGAGACCTCATCTCACAAAAAATAAAAAAATTAGACGGGCATGGTGGCACATGCCTGCTCCTCGGAAGGCTGAGGCAAAAGGATCGCCTGAGCTCAGCAGGTCGAGGCTGCAGCGAGCGGTGATCGTGCACTGTACTCCAGCCTGGGCAAGAGTGAGACCTCAACTGAAAAAAAAAAAACCCCAAAATCCACCCAGGGCAACACCAAATAATACAAAAACACAAAAGCTTTCCAGAGCCCACCTGGCTCCACCTTCTAGAAGGCCAAAGCCCACAAGTCAATCTACACAGGCATTCAGAGGATCCACAGTCAAACCCCAACACCCTTATGGATCCAAGCCAGGACGCTGTTCTGTCACTCTAGAATCTTTCTCTTCCCGGGTCTTTAGCACAATTCTCACCCTAGCTCCCACCTCAGGTATCCAACTGGCAGGCACCTGGCTTAAACCAGGTCTGTCCCTGGGCCTCAGGCTGGGCAGCAGTGAAAAAACAGACATAGAAAACACACACATTTGTCACTACAGAGCTGAGAATAAACACAAGGTTTTCCCTTTTTAAACAGACGATTCATTCCAATAATCCAAGCACACGATGGTGAGTCCAGTCATGACAGAAAACCAGGAGAGGAAAATGGAACTTTTTCCTGAGACCCAAAGTCAATATTTCCTGTCTGGGTTTGGTGCCACTTGACGTCTAACTGGTTTTCCTCATGTCCTGCCCCTGCTCTGTCGTTCCAAGACTAGGCTGAGGACCATCCACGATGTCTGAGTTGCTCCTGACTGACTTGGTGTCCTGAGTGGCCCATATGGGAGGGAGCCAAGGCCCGAGTGAGCACGTACTCCCAGGACCTTGGAAAAGGAGAGTTGCCTATCCCTGGTGGGCAGCAAGGATCCGGACATGTCTGGTCAGGGCAGCAGGAGCACTGGGAGGGGACCTGCCACACACATGTCCCTCCACCCTCCTTCCTGCCCTTTCCTGCAGTTTCTGGAGAGGTGAGACCTCAGCCTGGGACATCACCGCAGATGGTCCCCAGCCCAGTCAAGGGTCTGATGAAAGGCCTCTTGCTCCCACAGCCCTTCCCTTACCAGACTGCCGGCGCCCCTGGCGCACGTGGGTGGACACCTCATCCTGGGAGGACCAAGCCTTCTTCAGCCGCTCTGGACTGTAGCGGTACCGATTGGGATCTGCACCCAGGAGAGAGGTGATCAGGCTTCAGGGTCCCAGGCGGCCTTGGCCTAGACCCACCCCATTCCTGGCCACACCTCTACACCCACCCAGCTCCCAGGGCCAGAGGACTCTAGAGCTCCCTCTGGCTTTCCTCTGGGGGCTTCAGGCACTGAGAGTCCCACCCCTTAGCAGAAGCTGGCCCCCAACCCTGGACAGGAGCACCAATCCCTTCCCCACCCTCCCTGCTCCTAGAATAAAAGTATCTGGCAAAGCAGGATTGTAGACTGACCCAGCCTCACAAGCAAGTAGGGAAAAGTAGGCAGCAAATGGTACACTTACAATAGGAATCCATTTCCAAAATGGCTTCCTTGGCCTGGAAGGGAAGGAAACCCACCTAGTGACTACCTCGCTGTGTTCCATGCTTCTCATGCTCACAGGACCCACTGATACCCGCTGTGGCGGGCCCCAGTGGACCCTCTAGAGCTGCCCCTGCGCCCGAACTCACCTTCTGGGGAATGGTGGCGTGGTGGTTCTCCAGGATGAGTCTCTTGATGTGGTGTGTCCAGTTCCGTTTCTCCTCCACTGTCTTGGCCTGAGGGGACCCAAGGGAAAGGGCCCCGGGTTATTAGCACGGGCCTAAAGCTGGCTAGCGTGGGGGTGCTTCTGCCCAGGGTGAGGGAAGAGGTGGAACGAGGGGCTGTGCTGGGGCCAATGCAAGGTTCACCTGATCCTCACCATACCCTGAGAGGCACCTGCAATGATCCCCCTGCTTTATAGATGGAGACACTGAGGCACAGGTTAGCCAGGTGGGCAGAAGAGTGGGAGTGGCGTGCAGGAATCCCCCGGGTGCCCTGTTCCCCGGCCCTTGTGTCCCGCCCAGCCCTCACCTGGATGCTGTACTGCTGTTTGCTGTGCTTATAGTGGGTGACGGTGAAGCACAGGGAGTCTCTGGTGCTTTCAATCAGCATTAGGGAGGAGCACTGGGGGCAGAGGGAGAGGCTGGTCAAGCACAATAGTCTGGGGAAGCAGAGAGCCATCTCAACAGGATGGCACTGGGGAGCCTGGGGCCCCTGGGGAGGGAAGAAGCTGGTGGGGGCGATGGGCAGCTGGTTACCGGGATGTGACCCTTGTAGACAAAGTGATCGCCTCGCTTCTTGGTGATGAGAAGCGTCTTGTCAAAGAGGAAGAAAGTCCTCTCATTGCGCACACGGTGCACGCGGAATGTGCCCTCCAGGACGAGTTCTCCATACGTGGTTAGGTCTGGCCCTTTCCAGTTGATGAGCAGTGACTGAATCTCCTACGGCAGGGAGGCCCCAGGCCCTGGGGTCAGGCCACCAGGGCCCCAGGAGGCTCCCCCAGGACACCGCCCATCAGCCCATCCCAGAAGGCGGCACTCCCCCTCCCAAGCCCCACCCCCTGGCAGCCCCAGGGCACCTGCAGCCGGACTGCGTGCTCGTGTCTCCTCTTCATGTCATTGATGTACCAGGCCACGCAGGTCATGGTGTCGATGGCATCCTCCACCACCTCAAAGCCCTCCTCTTCTTCATCGAAATGCTTGGCGATCTCCTGTGGGGGAGACGGGGGTTCAGGCACCCCTGCCCTCCCCTCGCACTGGGCGCTGGTGAGGGCCTCCAGCTACCTGGAGCAGCAGGTGGTACTTGAGGATGCGCTGCACAGGCTTCAGCAGGTAGGAGCCCAGGGGCAGCGAGTGCTGCAGCAGCTCCTGCCGGTCCCGGAAGAACTTGGCCTGCTGCTTGTCCCGCATGCACTCCGTCAGTGCAGCCACCGAGCTGGGGGTGGGGGTGGGAGGAGAAGGGCTGTCACCACCTGGGAAGGGCCCGGATGGGGGGTCTCCAGCCTCACCAGTTGGCTCTGCCTCCCCCTCACCCCAGTTACTCACTTGGGGTAGTTGTTGCAATACTGGGTGTAGATATCAAACTCTTGGCTCTACGGAGAGACCGAAAATCTATTTCAGGGAGAGTCCCACTGGATTATGAAGAGGGTGGTGCCAAAGGGGCCCCCAAGCACACTTTGTCTCCCCTTCCCCCAAGGGCCTGCAGATCCATCTTTTTTTTTTTTTTTTTTTGAGCCAGAGTCTCATTCTGTCACCCAGGATAGAGTGCAGTGATACAGACATGGCTCACTGAAGCCTCAACCCCTGGGCTCTAGTGATCCTTCTACCTCAGTCTCCTGAATAGCCAGGACTACAAGTGTGCACTACCATGTCTGACTACTCTTTTAACTTTTTGTAGAGATGAGATCTCACTATGTTGCCCAGGCTGGTCTCGAACTCCTGGGCTCAAGCAATCCTCCCACCTTGTCCTCCCAGAGTGCTGGGATTACAGGTGTGAGTCACTGTGCCCGGCTGCCTACAGATCTGTCCTTGTTCTTGTCTAGTACATCCCATCCACCAGCAGCCCTGGCCCCACCCCAGGACACCCTTCACCATAACACCTGGCATTTCCCCTAGAAAGGGATCCCCGGGATTCTTATGTGGGAAGCTGCCGACAACGCAGAACAAGAGGGTAAGAACCCGGCCCTTCTTACCCTCTCCACAAAGCAGCTGGCCACAGCTACAGGGTCACAATCACAGCTGTCCAGGTCTCTGAGTAGCTGGCTGGGGGAGAGGAGAGTGGCCACTGCACCCCCACAGTCAGAGGACACAGAGCCCCCTCACTGCCCTCTTCCCAATCCTCTAGGCCCAGACTCCCAGCTAGCCCCGTGTCATGCCAGAGTTGGGGCTTCCACCCTCAGAGACAGCCCTGTCCCAAGTGGTAACCACAGAAGTATCCGGCACCACTGCAGAGACAGAGGCCAGGGAGATCCATGGGTTCAGCAAGCAGAAAAGGAAGAGAGGCCCCAGTACCCACCTTGGGAGGGGACACGGCTCCTTGGCAGGCAGGAGTCAAACACACAAAGGCCGAGATTAAAAGGGGCAGGGTCGGGGGGGGTCCAGCAAAGGAACCACGACTCCCAGAAGAAAGGACACAGGGAGAGACAGGTGGATCGCCCTTGTTTTTCCAAGGGGCTGCTGTAGGACACTCTAGAAACAGTGCTCCCTGCCTCCTCCATCTATGTGCCTCCTCTTCTCCTATCTCCCACCCCCAGCCTAAGCCCTGCCTGCGCCCTGCCCTTCTAGACCTCTCTGGGTCACACAGCCGAGGTCCCTCTGCCCATCTTCAGGGACCTGGAGTCAGACTGACCCTGTCCCATCAATGCTGTCCCCTCAAGCTCTGCTCCTCCCCAGCAATGCCCTTTCCCTGGGGAGTCTGTGGTCCCCAGGCAGCAGACTCAGGCCTCTGCCCTGAGATGGCCCCTGGCCAGGCCTTGTCCAACCTCCCCAATTGGTCTTGCCCAGGCTGTGCATTCCACAAATAGATCAGATCGTCTCCAGGGATCCCTGACCTTCCCTTGGGGTCAGTGGGAGAGAGGAGAAGAAATTAAGAGATGTGCAAGCAGAAAAGGAAGAGGAGACAGATAGACAAAAAAGCCACCTGCAGGGGACAGCTTCATGTGCCAGGGGCCAGCAACCCCCTGAAGCTCGACATGCATAGACTCTTAAATCATAACCCACGCCCCTCCACATCCACCGCAGGGCACAGGGATGGACCACCCTTCCTCATCCTCGGAGATCAGGCACTGAGCCTGCGTCATAGCCAGCAAGTCCAGAGATATCCAGGGCTCCTCCCTAGGCCCTGAGGTGGGCTTCGCAGGCAGAACATGGTGAGTGTCCAGCCCATCCACATACCTGTTCAGTGCATAGATGTTTTCTATGTTCCCAAAGAGGGCACTGACTTGCTCAGGCTTCAGCAGCCCGGGTGTGTCGATGATCTTCAACAGGTAGTCCTGCCGGGGACTGGCAGTCAGAACGCGCCCCTGTCATGATCCTGCCATCCCCCCACCCCCAGCCATGCCTCATTTCTGCACTGCCGTGACACCCCTTCACAGATGTCACTCACTGTGCTGGGTTGGGCAGTGTCCACCCAAAACTTCATATCCACTTGGAAACTTAGAATGTGGCCTGATTTGGAAAGAGGGTCTTTGCAGAGGCCATTAGTTAAAGATCTCAAGATGACATCATAAAGAACTCAGGGGGGGCAACCCCTTCAGTTCTCCTCCCACTGTGGGAGCTTTTCCGTCCTTTCAATAAATCCTGCTTTCAAAAAAAAGAACTTAGGGAAGGCCTAAATCCAATGACTGGTGTCCTCTTGAGCGGAGAGGACACAGAGACAGACAAAGTAGGTCGCTCGAGTCCAGGAGTTGGAAGCTGCAGTGAGCGATGATCGCGCCACCACACTCCAGCCAGGGCAACAGAGCAAGACCCAGTCTCTAAAAAATAAATGAATACGGAAGCGTGAGGAATCAACAGCTTCCACAGGGCAGGTGAGTGAGGCCTGGAGACCCGAGGCCTCCCCACTACACCATGGGATAAAGATCTGCTGAGAGTTTGCCTTCCTGGGGTGAAAACGGGGTTATGCCTGAAAGCCAGGCTGCCAGAGGGCCCAGCCCAGGAGCAGGCAAGACAGCGGGTGGGCCCAGCCCTCACCTCCACGATGCTGCGCAGATCCTGCACGTACATGCGCTCCGTCTCCACGATCTCCCGCACCACCCGGCCCAGGTAGCTGAGCTTGTGGTGTGCGGAGCCCGCGGCCGCCCGATGGTTGAATGGCGACAGGGGCCCTTTCCTGTTCAGCCAGCTGCTGGAGTTGTTGCTGTTGGGGGCGTGCCGGCCTCTCGGGGAGCCGTTCTCGGCAGGAGGCTCAGGGGCCCCGGCCTCCTCCATGGCACCGCGGCTGTCACGAGAGGAGCCTGACGAGGAGCTGGTGGAGGTCAGGCTCCCCGGCCGCTCCTGGCTCTGGCTGCCGGTGTGGGGGGAGGCGGACACGGGCATCCTGGCATTGCTGCCTGGGGAGGGCACCCCAGGGAGATTCTGCAGCAAGACAGACAGACAAGGGTCATCCTCTGAAGGCCCACAGAAACCGACAGGAAGGGCGGCTGCTGGGGCCGGGGGAGGGCCGGGTGGGAGGTTAGCATTTAATGGGTGCAGAGTTCAGTTTTACAAGATGGAAAAGGCTTTATGGACAGATGGCGGTGATGGTTGACAACGATGTGAATGTCCTTATTGTCACTGAGCTATACACTTAAAAACAGTTAAGATGGGCCAAGGCTGGAGGATTGCTTGAGCCAGCCTGGGCAACACAACAAGACCTCGTCTCTACAAAAAAATTTTTTAAATGAACTGGGCATGGTGGCACACACCTGTCGTCCCAGTTACCAGGGAGGTTGAGGTGGAAGGATCAACTGAGGTCAGAAGCCATGATCGTGCCACTGCACTCCAGTCTGGGTGATAGAGTGAGACCCCGAGTCAAAAAAAAAAGCTAAGATGGTAAATTTTAGGTTATGACTATTTTACCACAATGAACAAAACAAAACAAAACAGACTCCCGGAAGGCTGAGCCCTCAGATTCTGTGAGCACTAACAAGGGTGCCCAGGTCAATCTGCCAGTGCGTGATCCAGGTGCCTTGAGGACTTCACAGCCTCATCCCACTGCTCAGGCAAAGCACTTAGACTCTCAGAGCCTCAGCCGCGCCACTGCAAAATGAGGATGGATACGCCTACCCCAGGGCTGTGTCAGGATGAAGTGACCCACGGTCTTTAGGGCTCTGAGCATGGTGTGAACCATCAATACGGGGATGCCCACAGGTAGCTGTCAAGCAGCACCACCCAGGTGCCCACCTCCCTGGGCCCGTGCTGGGGTCACTGCACAGGGATGGGCAAAGATTCAGCTCTTAAAAACGTGAAGACAACACGCATACCTGAGGGGGAATATTTTCCCCAGGACTGCAAACCCATAGCTTCGCCACAAATCTGAAACCTCTGGCCCCACCCCAGTACCTGGTACCGAACCCCCTGACTCACCCTAGATCCCAGCAAATTCCCAGGGCTGAGCTACTGGTGAGTCTCTGTAAGCTCCCTGGCACAGGGCATAGAAGAGGGCAGGAAACTGCACCCAGGTAAGACAGATGGGGCCTCAGGTGGACTTTACTCCCTGAGCAGCTGATGCGGCTCCCAGGCAGACCCACCTAGAGCGGCAGGGGGGTTGGGAGGGGCGAACCTACTTCAGGCTGTGGCCTTTGGGAAGGACAGGGACACCCACACCCACTCCATAGGAGCAGAGCTCACCAATGCCACGTTCCAGAATGCACATTTCATTACTATCGCCATAGGAAACAAAAGCGCTCCTGGGCGTCTCTCTCAACCCCACTGACCCAAGTCTACTAGACAGTCACAGGTAAGGGGCAGAGGCTTGAACTACAAGAAGATTCTAGAAGCTGCTATCACTCTTGTACCTGTGGCACTGGCCCCTGGGAACCAGCACTCTAGGGTCTCTGGCTTTTGCAAATGTGGTTCTCTCACCTCGGTATTACTTCCTCCCAACCCACCCCATGACAACCAACCCATGTAACTTACATCTAACCTTCAGGTCTTGGATTAGACGCCACCCCCTTTAAGAACCCTCTCATATCATCCAAACCTGGGGAACCTCTTATAGTTTGCCAGGGTTTTCCCAACTGTGGCACTCCTGGGAAATACCGTGACTAGCTTAAGGACCCTGTCCAGGTGCGGTGGCTCACGCCTGTCATCCCAGCACTTTGGGAGGCTGAGGCAGGAGGATTGCTTGAGCCCAGGAATTTGAGACCAGCCTGGGTAACATAGCGAGACCCTGTCTCTATAAAAAAATTAAAAATTAAAGGAAAAGAAAAAGAACCTCCAGACCTGCTTACCACCCACCATTAGCCCAGCTGGGACCCTCCTGAGCAGAACCCAGCGCTTTGTCACTGCATCTCACTGGGGAAAGTCACCTCTGAGGTGCTCTGCCTGAGGCTCTGGTTTTGTAGACGGGGACGCAGTGGCAGTGCGCAACGCAAGGAGGACTGATTCACAGGATCACACCGGTGAACCTCTTTGAGCTGCTCAGAGGAGAGCCCCTGGGAGTGGCAGTGCGGCTCTCTCTCCCTCCTCAAAAGAGCCTTTACAAGGAATGAGCTGCCTGCCCACAGAAACAGAGCCGCAGGACCAGCCAGCAGGGCAGCGCAGCGCCATGTCATCCCAGCACACAGACAGACAAAGGCCCACACCCCACCATAGCCCTTAACCCTCAGCCCTGTGGCACTCTGGTGACCCTCACCCTCCCCATCCCAGCAGCACAACTGGAACAATGGGGCAGGGACTTTTGGCCTAAGACCTTTCCCAGATCAGACCTGGGGTTGGTCAGCTCCTCTGGGGACACAAATGGAAAAGGCCCAAGTCCCAAATGGGTTTCACAGCCAGCCAAGGTCACAGCCTGAGAGCAGGGGATTAGTCACAGTCCTCACCCCCACCCCAACCCCAACCAACACAGCATCAGGGAGATTTGTCTCCAAAGGGGACCTTCTGAGGGGCCTTCCCTGGGGGGTCCACTGCCAGAGCGGGCAGGCAACACAAGCACATTTCAAGTCCAGAAACAAAAGCACCTTTTCTACTTGGGGAAGTGGTCTCTGGTTGAGCACAGCTGCCAGTCTGCAAACTACGCTCACAGTTTGAAAGCAGAATCCATGCCCAAATCCCTAGGGCTAAAACAAAGCATAACCCATCCAACTTCTAAAATGCCCTAAGTGCTATACACACATTAAAGTCACTTATCCCTGGTAACAACTCTACAAGGTGGGTCCGATTATCACCCCCATTTTACCAGTGCAGACACGGAGGCCACAGAAGCAGGAAGTGGGAGAGCTGGGATTTGAACTCAGGCACTCAGACTCCAGAGTTCATGCCCCCCTGCCCACTACCTCCCTAATGAATTTCACACCAGCCAGGCCACAAGCAAAGGATTAGTCACAGCCACGGCTTCGCTTCGGCATAAACTGAAGGGGACATACGAAGATTTGAGGGATTGGGGCTCACAACATGACACTCCAAAGGACGGAGTGATCAGATTCCTTATGGCTATTTCTGGACCTGCAGCTATGTGACCTCTCTGGTCATTTACTCTCCCATCGGAACCACATGACAAAATACAGATTCCAAAGGATCGCAGGCCATGGGTGAGCAGGAAGAAGGGAAAAAGCGTGAGGTCACCAGGACCAGACTGTCCATTTCTGGGATGGCCAAAGAACCCAGACCCCAAGAATGGGAGGGCTGAAGGACAAACGGGATGGTGGGAACAGGGCGGGGCACACAGGCAGTGTCCAGAGGCTCCAACCAATTGCGACAGGTACGAGACATCACCCGCAACTTGAGTGGATCCAGCCCTAAGAGAATGATCAGACCATGATATGGCTGCAGCTCAGAGTCCCACAGCACGGCTGAGGTCCTTGCCCACGTGCTCCCTAGGAAGGGCCCCCTTTTCTTTCCCACCTGTTGAGCATTACCCCGTGCTGTAAGAATCCCTCCCCCCAAGCCAGCATGGAAGACCCCATCTGCTAGGGAAGCCAGAGCTCAGAGGAGGCAGCGATGAGGCTGACAGCAGCCAAACCCTCCCACGCCCACCCCATCCTCACACACCCTGTTCTCCAGTTCCCCCGCACATCTGTCTTTCAACTTGAGTCAACACAACCTGTCATCCATCAGTGAATCAGTCGTCTAGAAAACTCTATCTCAGGTACTACACCTGTGGAACCCTCTTTGACAAGGTCCCCGAAGACCTCTCTTGCGGATGGGACTAAGAAGCAGCTCATCCTCGCACTTTAAAGGGTTCAGAGACAGGAGAGGAAGAGAGATGGGTGTCTTTTCTTTGTAAATTTAAACGTGGTTCACACCCTTCCTCCACCCACACCTGTCCTGACTACCCAGCCCCACCTCTGGAGGGCCTTCCCGAACATCCACAGGTAAGGAGGCAGGCAAGCTACAGCAGGCCCTTGGGTTCCCAGCACAGCCATCTGGGCCTCATCCTCCCCTCCTCGCCACACCTCAGCACCACACCCCAATCTGACCCAACAGAAGAAAAATGGCATGCCCTTATAGCCCACAACTGCGTTGGAATTCTGTCCCCAGGCCTTCTGTCACGGAGATAACGGGACCCTGCTCCTTTCCGGCCCCACAGGGCCACTCACTGGGAACCTTCTGGAACTCTGCATCTCTGGTCCTGGGGAACCCCCAGGAATCAGCCCCCCTCCCTCCCAGGCCAGTGAGCTGAGAAAAAGGCAGGAGAGGGGGAAGGGACATTTGGGGGTGAACCCTCTGGTGGGTGGGCACACCAGTGACTCCCCAGAAAACATTCTGATTCTTGTCATCCTTTCACCCATGGCGCTTCACCCCATACCTCAGAAGCAGAAACCGCACAGCACCACACCTGCTTTGGGAGTGGACAGAAAAGAAGCTGGGGGGGTTCCCCAGGACAACTGCTACAAAGGCCCCAGTGGGGGAAGAATCCACCGGGCACTCGCACATTGGGAAGGTCCTTCCTCGGGGACGGCGTCTATGCAGTTCTCGGGCAGGGGCCTTCATCTCTCAACCACATCATCTCCCAGACACCCCAGAGGCTCTCAAAACCAGGGCCTTCGACCTTCCCCAGAACAAGCCCCCAGTTCCATTTCCAGAATCTCCTCAGAAAAGTGACAAAAGGAAGCAACAGAGAAAAGCTGCAACCTTTCCAGACAGGCAGGGTGGGCAGCACCATGAACTTCCACAGAGAGCCTGACAGGTAGTGAAGTCATCTGGCTATGCTCTTGCCTGCAGTTAGGCACCGCCTGGGCTACCCCACTCCAAACTGTCCCTGGCAGAGGCCCAGGACCTTCCTGGGTCGTTCTCACTGTTCTCCCCACCCTAGGGGCTCTCCCTGGGGAGAGGAGCCCCCCCCTCCAGAGCATCTGGCTCTTTTTCCCAGCAGTTTCCTCACTCTGACCCCTCCCTTCCCTCCTGGAGACACAGGGGCCCTGAGCGACCAAAGAAA